TCTCTCTCTCCTACTCCACCTTCCTTTCCCACCTCCTCTTCACCCCTCACCCAACTCCATCTTCCTTTCCCCCCTCCTCTTTCCCGGGTCAGGCAGCCCCCCCTCTTGTTTTTGTGTGTGTGATTTTCAGGTACTAGTCGCGGCAGATGAGGCGAGCTTGCCGCGTTTGGAAATGAAGAGCGAAGCAACACCGGCCGGGACGTGCAAGAGTTGGCAGTAGTTGTCCTCGGGCGCATCAAAGCTTACTTTCAGGTTTTTCCATCGGGAGTTGGTACCTCCCGCTCTCTTGTTTACTCTGTACACCCTTTTATGTATTCTAGCTAGCATCTTGTGTGTGGTTTACTCTGTGGCTATCTAGCTAGCATCCTTTTACGTACTCTGCTATAGTTCGTGTGTGCGCCACTGTTTTCTGTTTGAGGTATAGTGGCCGCGGCGGGGGATGGTAGTGTAAGGTCATGTCCTTGGGGATGGTGGTGGTGGTGGGGGTGAGCAGGGGGGCGTTGAGCGGTTCTGTGGGTGGGATGGGAGGCAAGGGTGGGAAGGGGATAACAGGCACTCATAGATTGAGGATCGGGTCGTGGAACATAGGCACACTGATGGGTAAGTCCATTGAGTTGGCGAAGATTCTTCAGAAGAGGAGGGTCAGCATAGCTTGTGTACAGGAGACTAGGTGGGTAGGGTTGAAGGCGAGGAATGTAGACGAGTTTAAGCTGTGGTATTCTTGGGTTGTGAGGGGTAAGAATGGAGTGGGAATCTTGGTGGATAGGGATCTTAGGGAGTCCGTGGTTGAGTTTAGGCGAGTGAATGATAGGTTAATGTCTATTAAGTTGGTTATTGGTGGATGCGTCCTCAATTCATCAGCGCTTACGCGCCGCAAGCAGGCCTGGATGAGGAGGTTAAGAGGCGCTTTTGGGAGGGCTTGGACGAGTTGGTGAGTAGTATTCCCCACTCTGAGAAGTTAGTTGTTAGAGGGGACTTTAATGGCCATATTGGGGCTGCTGCTGGTGGTTATGGCGAGGTGCATGGTGGCTTTGGCCTTGGGGTTAGGAACGGAGGAGGCACTTCGCTGCTTGATTTCGCCACGGCTTTCGAGCTTTTGATTGCGAACTCGTCATTTCCAAAGAGGGAGGAGCACTTGGTTACTTTCAAAAGTTCGGCGGCGAGGACTCAGATTGATTACCTCCTCCTCAGAAGGAGCGATAGAGGGTTTGTCGACGCCCCCTTTTTCTCGCGAAATCGGGTTTACGACATTCAGGAAGACAACTCTATTCCCGTTTGGGAATTGGGTTTTTGGAATTGAAGAGTCGCCACCTAATGATTGAGTGCATTAGGACACTAAGAAGGGTTTTTGAGTTGGAAAATCAGAGTTCGGGTAAGGGCTAGAAATTATCTCAAGGGGAAGGTGTTAGGCACCCCTCAAGATCCACTAGTGTGGTTCCCGACCATGCTATGTTGTGACTTTAATGCAAATAGATACACAAAGGATTTTACACATAAGGGTTGCAAATAAATACGTGACAAGTATGTGGGATCAAGGTCTAGATGATCTAAAATTTGTTTAAAAGGGTGACTAAACACAGAAAATTAATTAATACATTGAATAAACAAAGAAGAAAAATTGGAAGAAAAGGCATAATGCAGTAAAATTAAGGAAGAGTTTTGAGTAGTTGAAAAGACAGGATTTTATTGATATTAAACAAAGTTGTATAAGAAAAGGGGTCCTAGGTTTATAAATCACATGGATCATCCACACAACACCGGTAATCAATTGTACGCGTAGTGTTATCGTGTGATCATCATCTCCATGCCTACCCTTCCCACCCCGTTAAGGTATTAAGCGCGAAATAGTCTCGTTTACTTATTGCATGCTATCACCCATCCCACCTATCAGTCCTGGAGGCTTTTAGGACTACTAATCCTAAAGGGAGGAAGCTTGGCTTTTCAGAGGTTTAAAAAGGTTAAAATACTAAGGCGTCAAGCAAAACACATGAAAGCAGTTATGGGAGCACAAAACAATTAAGGCTCAGATAAACCTCCTTTAATCACAGAAAATCATGTAGTTTAGCATGTCTTACATGTACTGATTAGGTCGAAATTATGCTTAACGTTAGGCAGGCTGGTTCATTACATATTTTTAGGCAAGAAGTTCGCATTAGGCTCGCCTGGCTGCAACTTATCGAAGACCAGTGCAATTAATTAACTACATACTTGTTTGCCTACGTGATGGCCTACAGGGATGGCATCTACTGGTTTCAGGAATAAAGAAACAAACTGATTAAGAAAGTTACCAGTTTTAACAGAATGGTGCGAGTTCTGTAATTAGTGCTAATCTTAAAACGAGTGATGCAGATTTGATTGATAATTCCTATAGGCATACTTTCTAGCGTCGTTAATTTGAACACTTTTTATAAGCGTAGCGAAAGCGCAGAAATACTATAAGCATGGTATCTGAGTACTGTTAGCAGTTAATCCTATAAATAGGTTTGCCTAGTGAACAATGCATGCGTAGAGTCTGGATTTCTGGTTACTTATAGGCGTGGTATCCATATGGAGATGCAAAATTCCTATAGACATGGTATCGATATGGAGATGCATAAACCTATAGACATGGTATCTACGTGGATGCATAAACCTATAGACATGGTATCTACGTGTGATATGCAAATGTGCAAAGCTGTAGGCAAGATACATGAGTACAGAAGTGTGGTAATTCCCTATGAGCATGATATCTACCCCTTTGCATGCATGGTTACCCTTCCCTTTTCACTAATCAACCCAGAGGTTATTACAAAATTTTATTACAGACCAAGATGAATCGAAAACGGGAAATAAAATTAAAATCAGAACTCTTAAGCTGCATCCAAGGAGCCTAATTCAAACCCAAGGTCTAACAATATGATATGAGCCAACTGCTAGGATCAGGTTCCAAAGCCTTTCTCTTATCTGGAGTGTGTCAAAGTTCCACGAAATTTCAAGAACTCCAGGCAATGCTCACACCCAGATATCAAAACTGAATGAAAGTGCAGTGTGGAAGGGCCAGCCCTCTAATGTCCAAGTTCAGAGGGAGTTCAAGGTCCCTAGGCAAGGCTCATTGGAGGGAGGCAGAACTTAGAGTCTAGGAACAAGTGTAAGTGCAGTTGAGGGATATAAGGGATGCCAAGGCAGGCTGGTGGTCATGCCCAGCGACATAAAATGCTGGCACACCCCTGACCAGCCCACTAGCCAAACATTGGAGAGTTAGGACCTATTGAAGGTCAGGTTCAACCCTGGACAGCAATTTGGTTGCTGCCAGTCAAAACCTTAACTCAAACACACACAAGGGAATGGTGATGGGAAACTGAAAGAGCTTAGGACCCAAAGGGTCCTGTTTACATCCACGGACAATAACTTTGTATATTGCCATGTTTTTTGTAAACTATAGCTCAAACACATAGGGGGACATGGGGAATGGGATTCATTGCAAGACATAAGCAAGATATAAACATACTATACAAAGGTTAAATTCTACAGGCAGTAAAGTAAGCATGGACAGGAGAATTGGTAAGTAAACACATTAGAGTTGATGCTGGAATTAAAACTAGGACATACCAGTTCCAGAAAGAGACAAGCAAAAGAAAGCAGAAGTCTTGCAAATAGGCCACAGTACGAGCAACAAGAGAGAATACTTTTTGAGTGTGAGTGTGAGTTCAAAAAACTACGAATGTTGGGTGTGTTGGGTTAATAAAAGAGCATGTATTTATAGTTTGAAAACAGGCAAGGAATAAGGCAAAGAAATAACCATGTACCAATTAGAATCAATCAGTAGAAGAACTTCCTTTAATTAAGGAGTTCAAACTTAAACGGTAATGAACAAAAGAGTATTTAAGGAAAGAGATCAAGTAAGCATCTTGTGCAAAGTAGGCAATTAGGGGTAAATACATAGGAGTTTAATTAAGGGAAGAAATTTTGAAATACACGGTTAAACAAATAAGGTAAGAACCAATCAGTACCCAATAAATCTAGGAATCAGAGATTTGCAACTATTGGTTCATGAATAACCAAGTCAGAAAGGCTAAGGAAAAGGTTTTACTTAAGAAGAATCAGTAGCAATCAATTAACCCCAAAAAAAGGATTCTGATTCGAACACAAGTTGGAAAACCTTTTGAAGAAAGATTTTAACACATATAAAAGGGGTTGTCATGCTAATCAGAGGAGTCTAGTATAGAAGAATTCATACACAAAAGGATTCAAACTCAGTACATGGACCCCAAGTGAGTTTGAGAGAGTCCAAGGCTCAAATAGAACCCTAGTCCAAACACACAAGACCAAACTCGCCAAAAACCCCAAATCCTAGGGTTTTCGACTTGAAGCAAATGCAAAGAAGAGGAAACAAGCAGATACAGTAGTAGGTTTAATGCAAACAGAGTCATGGAATTAATTCGAAACACAATGAGAGTAGAAGAAACGGTAGAGGAAAATATGCTTAAACAGGCATAGTAAGAACACTTAATGAACATGGTAGAAAAATACAGTAGGCGAAGCATATCAAGTCGTAATGGAAGGCAAGTAGCAGAACATAGCATGTGAAAACATAGCACAAAACATAAACATAGCACAGAAACATAGATACATGTGAAAACATAACACAGAAACATAGTAGAAGGAAGAACAAAATATAGCAAACATAGTAGAAGAACATGTGTAAAAAAAAGAGAAAACATAAGAACATGGTAGAGACAAACATACACGAGAAAGGGAGAAGAAAGATCGGAAAACACATAAGCATTTTTTTTCAGAAACCCTAAATCAGAAAGAAGTGACTTTGGAAAAAGAATTTTATAAAGAAAAGTTGGGGAAACCTTTTAAAAACTCAAAGTAAAGCATGAATACACACAGATCTGAAGAGAATTGGAGAAAAACCTCGAACAGCTAGGGTTTCAGGTGAACCCTAGAACGAGAAAGGCTTCGAAAAATGTCCGATCTAAGTCGGATAAGACTGGAAACAGGCTCAGGAGGCTAAGATAGGCCGGAGCCAAGCCGGAGATGGCCGGAGCCCTCAAGTCGGCGGAGATCTGGGTGGAGACCTTTGAGGTCTAGCCTCAAACCTTCAAATACCAAGCGCACAAGAGCGATAGGAGGTGAGTATGAGGGTTTCACGGCCTGAGAAGCCATGGAAACCGGCGAGAATCCAAGGGATTAGGGTTAGCTTGGGTGGCGGCGACTAGGGTTTGGAGAGAGAATAGGAAAGGAAGGGAATTCAAGGGCGGCGGGTAGAGGGAAATGAATTAGGGTTGGGGGGGTTTGGTAAATTAAAAAGGAAAGGGTGTATTTGGGCCGTTGATCTTTTAGATCAACGGTTGTGATTAGAAGGGGTTAGATGGGAGACCGGGTGGGTCGGTTCAAACGGGTTGTTGGGCTAGACTAATCGGGTCTAAAATTGGGCTAATTTGGGGGTCTAATGTGGCTACAATTGAAATAAAATCTGGCTAGCACTTAATGGCCATTTTTTCCCCTTTTTTTATTTTATAAAATAGTGAGAATGATTTTAAAAACAAATTAAAAGCACTTAAGTAACTAATAATGTATAAACATTAATCTAAAATACTGGAAACGATTTTATAATTGTAAAATAGGCTATAATTGCAATTATATGCAATTTAGTTTGAAAAATGCCAAATAAATCTGTAAAAAATATGAAAAAATCACCTTAATTATATTTTGGTGTAAATATGAGAATAAAATGAATTATTCACAAAATGATAATTTTTTGGGAATAATTATTGAATTTTGTAGTATTAAAATAGACAATAAATTGGTTTAAAAAATCTTTAAAAATTTGGAAAAATACCAAAACACTTGGGTATGCTCATATAAGCATATATATGTTATTTTAAAAGTATTTTGAGTATAAAAATATCTAGGGAAAAATTGGGTATCAACAGCTGCCCCTCTTTACCCGGGATGGATGAAAGAGTTATCGGGTAAAGATAGGATTGCCAATTTTGACCGAAACAGGTGATTTGCAAAGAATTTCGACCGAGCTCTGGCTCTTGAGCTGCCTACATATCCCTGGTTTTACAGGAATCAGGCCATATGTAGTTCAGGGTCCATCGGCGGAATATGCCAATAGAGTTTCGAAAAGGACGGAGTAGGCAGGGAGAAGCTCGAGTGTAAGGGTTTCAAACTAAGCAGGTCTAAGACAGAATACCTGGAGTGCAAGTTTAGCGCCAAGTCGAGTGAAGTAGGCAGGGACGTGAAGCTTGGATCTCAGGTCATCTCCAAGAGGGACAGTTTCAAATATCTTGGGTCGGTGATTCAAGGGGACGGAGAGATCGACGAGGATGTCACTCACCGTATAGGGGCGGGGTGGTCGAAATGGAGGCTTGCATCAGGAGTCTTGTGTGACAAAAATGTGCCACCGAAACTCAAGGGGAAGTTTTATAGAGCTGTGGTTAGACCTGCCATGTTGTATGGGGCGGAGTGCTGGCCGGTTAAGAAATCGCATGTTCAGAGAGTGAAGGTTGCGGAGATGAGGATTCTCAGGTGGATGTGCGGGCGCACCAGGTTAGATAAGATTAAGAATGAAGTTATTCGGGAGAAGGTGGGGGTGGCCCCAGTGGATGAGAGGATGCGGGAAGCGAGGCTCAGGTGGTTCGGGCATGTGCGAAGGAGAAGCCCTGATGCCCCGGTAAGGAGTTGTGAGCGGCTGGCGGTGGTTGGCTCGAGTCGAGGCAGAGGGAGGCCTAGGAAGTATTGGGGAGAGGTGATTAGGCAGGACATGGCAAGAATGCGGATTTCCGAGGACATGGCCCTTGATAGGAAAGTCTCGAGGTCTAGTATCAGGGTTGTAGGATATGGGCTTCTAGAACTTTTCGTACTTCATTCCCAGGGCTAGGTGGGGTTTGGTAGGGCTCTCCATAGATGACTTGCGTATTGTATTGTGCCCCCTTATGGTAGTTACTGGTCGATATTATTGCATGCCATTTAATTTATGGTTTTATGTTTAGATAATTATTTATGCGATTTCTGCTGGAGTCACTAATGCTTTTTTGTTTTTCTTTTTCCTTTACCTTTTCTTTCCTGAGCCGAGGGTCGATTGGAAACAACCTCTCTGCCCTTTCGGGTAGGGGTAAGGCCCGTGTACGTATTACCCTCCCCAGACCCCACTTTGTGGGACTATACTGGGTTGTTGTTGTTGTTGTTGTTTTATATTTTAATTGAATTTTTTTTAAATAAATATTTAAATTTATTTTTCTTTTCTAAATAATTCTAATCGCAAATTGAACCTTTATTGTCCTTTTTCGTAATTTGTTACTTAAAAGCTTTTTAAAATAGTGATCAAACACAATGAGCTTGCAAAAAGTACTACTCAAACGAATTGGCCAAACACAAATTGCTATTTTGCAAAAGAACTTTTTCAAATCACTTTCAAAATAAATAATTTTTGGCAGTTTGGCCAAACGGGCTTTATATTATTGATATGACTCTGTTATAAACTTAATCAAGATAGAATAGAGACATTTTTCATGTTGTTATAAATTTAAGGCAGAATACATCGGCAGGTCATTAAACTTTGTCCTCACTTTTCACTATGACACTTAACCTTGAGTTTGTTCCATTTGAACACTATAGAAGGTTATTACTATGTCACTTAGACATAAAAAACACACGGGCTTTTATAAGTCAAGCACGTGTATATAAGCGTTGCTAACGTGTAATAGCCGACGAATAAGTTTCTTCCATGTGGAATTATTGTCCACGTAAGATCCATGTGTAACGGGTAATCCAAGTCAAACAAATCGGGTTCAAGATTAAAATGCCAACCCATATAATTACCTTTAATCTTTACAACCCTTAGTAAAAAAAAAAGCCTAACCTCTTTCCCGTCTTCGTCTATCCTATTCCGCTTCCAAAATCGATTGCTCCATTAGCAAGAGTGTTGTCTCGAGTTACTCCTTTATTGGTATGTCTCGAGTTACTCTTTTATTAAGATTTTAGTTATTTATTAGGGTTTTTGTGTTAGTAATGGTGTTTTTAGGAATTGTAGATACAAAAATAGATTTTTTCATTTCTTTTCTTCGAATCTTGCTGACTGTGCTCTCGTGTTGTTTTTTTTGTTCACTTTAGGTTAAAATCATATCAGTGGACGAATCCATTCTTGTCCGCTTTCACCAATGTGGACCATTTACCGAATCTCCAAGTGCGAAATATGTCACTAATATAGAGATAAATTAGTTTTCTATTAACAAAGACCATTTCTCCTTTATGAACTTCAATATTACACAAGAGGGCTGGGTTATGCAACTGTTGGTTTATTTTATGTCTTTAACCCTAATTCCAAAGAACTTGTCTTGGTGGAAGATGATGAACAACTATATAATATTGCTTGTTACTGTAATGAGGGTATTTTAGACTTGTACATTTCACATGTTGTTGAGATAATTTTTGATAGTGTGGTCCCAATTGGATATTTATGTGGGCCGAATGTTGTTGAAGAAAGAAACAACACAATTAATAATCCATCTAGGGCAATAATAGAAGATGGTCCAAACAGTATAAATGGACCACAACCTGTTGAAGAGCCTCCACTTGAAGAGTTTGAGACTGTTATTGGTGGGGAAGGGGCTGCTTCTGGTGGGGAAGATTTTTCTGGTAATGTAGAAGAGGAAGTTGATAGTGTAGAGAATCTGAATGGTGGAGAAGGGGCTGATGAAGAAGAGGTTGCTTTAGAGGTAGCTAGTAGTGAGTCAGATCTTGATGAACTTCTTGAGGAGAATGATAGTGAGTTGATGAAGAGGCCAGGACCTTCAGAAATGAGAGGAGAACTAAAAAGAATGGTACCAGAAGGAAGAAACAACATGAAACTGCTAGTGTGCCTATAAGAAAAGCTCGAATTGATAAAGGTTTTGAAGATATAGGATTTAACAAAAAAGGGAAATATGTTGGCTGATTAGGAAGCGATGAGGAGTTCATTGACTGTTCTGATACTGGCAGTGATGATACTGACGAAGAGGTAGAGTTGGATTTTCAGCCTGGTGTTGGCCTTCCAAGTAGAAGAAAGAGCACAAATGTTAGATATAACACTGAATGTGAAGTGGCAATTTTTGATTTGGGCATGATATAAGAATGTTGGAGAATTTAGGAAGGCAGTGCCTGATTATGCAATAGAGTATAAAGTTAAGTTAAAGCTTAAACAAATGAGAATGTTAGGGTAAGGGTAAAGTGTAAATCAAAAAACAATGCAACTGGGAGTTGTATGCTTCAGTTGATAGAGATTCTGGTGACTTCATGATCAAAAAGTATCATCTTGTTCATAAATGTCAACCACTAAACACCAACAAGATGTGTAATTCAAAATACATTGCTAACAAATTCAAGAAAGAACTTACTGCTGCTCCTTATATGAGAATCTGGGAAATTCAAGAACTAGTTAGAGAGAGGTTGGGATTGTATATTGGCAGAACAATAGCTTATAGAGCCAAACAGATTGTTCTGAGAAAGTTTATGGGGGATTGGAAGCTAGAGATTGCCAGATTGTGTGACTATGCTGATAGTATTAAGGAAACCAACCATGGGCTGTTTTGTGAAAATTGACAGAGAATCTGAGCCTGGTAAGAACCTATTTCAGTACTTCTATATCTGTTTTGATGCACTCAAGAAAGGTTGGTTAGAAGGATGTAGGAACATCATTGGTTTAGATGGTTGTTTCATAAAGGGAAGCTGCAAGGGTGAATTACTGGTGGCTGAGGGAAGAAATGGGAACCAATAAATATTTTTTATTGCTTGGGCTGTTGTACACCATGAAACTAAACATTCATGGAGTTGGTTCCTCGGTAACTTGATAGAAGATTTGCAACTAGGTGAAGGTTGTGGCCTAATAGTAATGTCAGATATGCAAAAGGTAAATAATTTATTTATGTTTGTTAGTTGTTGATATTCTATCTTCTAGTTTAATTTCTAATGTTGTATATATTGTTTTGAATGGGCTTTTGGTATCCGTTAAAGAGTTATTACCTATGGCAGAACAAAGAATATGTGCAAGGCACATATAGTCTAACCGGTCTAAGAAATGGAAGGGAGAAGAAAGGAGGAAACTAAGTTCCATTCCTTTTCACTACTGTAATATGCACTTATATAATTTGCAGCACGTCTTTTAGTAGCTTTTGCAGTGAAGTAGTTCCATTCCATTCATAAGACTGACTACATTAACTAGTCTAAATTCTAAGGAATTGCAGTGAACACTAAAGAATTGCAGTAAACACTAAAGAATTGCAAATTTTTTAAACAAAAACAAAGATACATTGCATTGATAAGGAAGTATCAATTATACAAAATAGGATCCCTACCATCCCAAGTACAACAACAATGAACAAAAGTAGAGCAACAGTTCCCAACACTAACTACATTAACTAGCCTAAATTAACAACGATTTTTCCAGAAACTTGGTTCAGTCCATCAACAAGAGCAAGAACCACAACAAAGTCATATGATTAAGGCCACCAGTACAAAAACAAACATTGCTGTGTTCCTCTATTTTTTTGCTCGATCTCTTTCTTGATCAAATGCGTTCACTCTCTTCAACAAAACCCATATAACTCTATTCGCTTGCTCAGGAAACTAGTCCTCAAACCATTTAAAATATTTACATCCCCCATTGTCCTTCAAAAAACAAAAAAATCAATTGATATAAATCAATGGCAAATAATATCGTATAAAGAAGTTTTTGTGGAATACACTTGCTTTGCCAATTTTGCATATAAAGTACCTTCTTGGGTTAGCAACACTCCATGAAATTTTCAGTTCACACGAATGACCACATCGACACCAGTCAACACTTTCGGTATTTTGAGACACTATTCGAACAGAAATTAAGAGAAGTAGCAGGAAAGATTACGTCAAAAATTTGACTAAGGAGGGTGGAGTTCTTTCAAATTGAAAAAAAAAAGCTCCGATTTTCACTTCTTAATGAAGAATTTAGCTCAGTTGAAATGGAGAGAAATTAGGGCTTGAGAGAAGATAACAATGGAGAGAGAGGTTAAAATAAGGAAAATAATGTGGGGTTTGGTTTATTACCATTGGAATAGTCCATGTCAGCTTTTTTTGTAGACCTTGCGCGCTAAACATCCGTGATTCCCACGCAAGGTGGCCCGTATATTTTTTGTGTCTATGTGACACAGTAATAACCTTGTTATAGGGTTCAAATGGAACAGACTCAACATTAAGTGTGATAGTGGAAAGTGAGGACAAGTTTAATGGCCTGCCGATGTATTCTGCCTAAATTTAATGAATGTGAATGTCCCTTCTATAATTTCTTTAGCAATCATGTACCAAATAAATGAAACCATTAATTATTGTAATGTGAAAAGATTCTTTCTAACCAATGACAGATTTGCTTTAGCTCAAGCGATGCCATCACCGCTTAGCCGAACTTTTTACTAAATAAACTTATAAATAGTATGAAAAATTTTAAGTTAAAACCAAATGAATCCCCTAAATAGATAGAACGTCTCACATCACCGGTTCGGCTCATTTTCTCCCTAGCTTAGGTCGGGAGTTCGAGTCTCAACTATGACCTATATTTTAATATTTTTTCGAACATCAGTTATTTCTATTGTTAATCTAGACCTATTTAAAGGCAAGTGCGAACAAGATCACTTAACATGTATTGCTTTCTATTCATTTCATGAAAAAAAAAGTTACCCAAATCAATCTATTAAAATATATTTCAAAAAAATATAAATTCGTTTGGATTATGTTTTATCAATATGATATGATTTTTTGAAAAAAAAAATAATGATGGTAAAATGATTTTTTCACATGTTTACTTTTTTAATACCAATACCACTTACGAAAAAATCTGCATATGCCCATATTTGTAACCTATAAATAATATGTTTTTTTTTGTGAAAGAGACAATCGGAAATATAAAGAAATATAATCATTCTAGTCTTCTCTCTATTCTTGTCTTCTTATCCTGTGGACTTTAGTTTAGAATTATAACATTTATTTCATAACATATAATCAGCACGAGTCTCTAACCAATTAAGATTATGCTTTAAGCAGGTTTTATCTTCTTCATAAAAGAGTGTATACGGCCAAAAATCGGGGAGTTCGACTTTGGGGATACTGTGGCACTCCACGCCCGACCTCGAGAAGCCCGAAACAGAATTTGAAGTGTGACCCCAAGGTGCGTCCTCGAGGGAACATTTCGAAGGTTCACTGTGGTCAATCTCGGAGCAACACAAATCGATGATCGTCATGGAAAGGCGGGAAAGTTCCTGAGGACACGTGATTAGAACTGACAGAGTCTGCAAGAAATAGTACACATCCGTACTAAGCCATTATACAACTGTACCAATAGCATTTCCTTGTCATTATTAGACATGTACTATGTTGAGATTTCCCCTCCTATATAAAGGGGACCTTGTCATTTTGTAACACATGAATATTGAATGCAATAGAACATTCTCTGCTTTTCTTGCCTAAACGTGTTCAACAATTACTCTAGAGATTTATTGCTCGTTCATTTATTGTTCATTCATTGTTCTTCATTTATTGCCCATCATTAACCGCAAAAGGCTATTTTTTGAGGCCTTCAATATCATTGTTTCTCCATCAACTGTTCACAGCTAACTGCCCTAACTAGGCCTCGAAGCCCCTGTTCCAGCCAGCTCGAGGCCCAATCTTGCGATAACATCGGTTTGCATATCTTATATTCTTTACTTACATCAAGCATCTATTGCCTAACAACTAGTATTGAAATAAATCACATATTTTTAGAACCACAAAATCAAATATAATTGTTAATACCATTTTCAAGGTAAACAGTTTGGCGCCCACCGTGGGGCTAAAAATAATAGTGATTGTTTTGGTGCTAGTTTTTTGAAAACACAAGTTATTCTTCACGCTTTTTCTTGTCCAAGAATCTTTGATTTCAGGTCAAAAATTTCTAACTCAGCAAATACACACGAAAACAACGGTATTGGGCTTCATGGAGAGAACGGTGCAGATGCCGGCGTACCACCGCAAAACCCAGGGGTGGCACCAGCACAAATCCCCGTCGACTTGGGCTCACGCAACGCTGTGCATGTCGATGTAAACTCTAATACCAACGGAAGTGTGCGCGGGGAAAACTAACATGAAGCATAGGGGACTCCAACTCGGGAGGAAAGAGAAGTTAGCCTTCAAGTCATCTTAGAGATGTTGCAAGCACAACAAGTGGCTATTGCTCAGCTACAAAGTCAACAAAAAACTCCAAGCACAGCAGCACCGGAAACGGCTCCTCGAGTCGAGCAGGCACCAGAGAGATCGAGTTACAACGGGTTAGCAGCAGATCCCGTTATTATGAAGATGCTCGAGGACCTCACCAAAAGGACTGAATCAGGAGAAAAGAAGATAGAGGCTAACGATAAAAAGGTGGAGGCGTATAACTCGAGGGTCGATCAGATCCCGGGCGCACCCCCGATTCTGAAGGGTGTAGATTCAAAGAAGTTCGTACAGAAACCATTCCCGTAAAGTGCGGCTCTGAAGCCTATCCCGATGAAATTCAGAATGGCCGATGTCCTGAAGTATAATGGGACCACGAACCCCAATGAGCACATTACCGCTTATACTTGTGCTGTAAAAGGAATGACTTAAAGGATGACGAAATTGAGTCCGTCTTATTGAAGAAATTTGGAGAAACACTTTCAAATGGGGCTACGATGTGGTATCATAACCTACCCCCGAATTCAATAGATTCATTTGCCATGTTGGCAGACTCTTTTGTAAAGGCACACGCTGGTGCCATCAAGGTCGCCACCAGGAAGTCCGATGTCTTCAAAGTCAAACAGAGAGAAAACGAGATGCTAAAGGAATTTGTATCTCACTTTTAGATGGAGCAAATGGAATTACCACCAGTCTCCGATGACTGGCCGGTACATGCCTTCACTCAGGGCTTGAACGAATGAAGTTCGGTTGCTTCGAAGCAGCTAAAATAAAATTTGATCGAATATCCCGCAGTGACCTGGGCAGATGTGCACAACAGGTATCAATTGAAGATCAAGGTCGAAGACGACCAATTATGAGCCCCCTCGGTATCAGTATATCCTAGCAAACTCTTAACAAAGGAACAAAGGTTTACAG